TCAAATAATCCCAATAACTTTTACCACCTACATAGTTGGCAAAAAAAGACAAAGGTATACTGTTTGCTAACTTAACAACTAACCATCCTGCATTCTGAATGATATTTCGTAAAATCACCGATGGTACAATACAGTCATAATAGCCCATCCCGATGAACGATTTGTAAATTTTGTTTTTTTTGGCTATTTCTCTCAGTTCAGTAAGCATACGAGCCTCATCAAGTGGCCGAGGTAGATCCAAAGCTCTTTTAAATTTAATTACTTCAGGTACATTAGTATTTGTTAATTCATCTAAATCCTAAAAGACTTTAACCAATCATTTGTTACTGACAACACTACAAATCATATTTTTGAACATAAATTAATTTTACCAAGTGTTTCAGCGGTGTTGTAAATTGAATTAAATTGATTTACAGAACCAAAAAAAAAAAAAAAAAACAGCTGAACAAATGTAAAAACAGTGGTTTTGTTTATATGTTATCGGTAAAGAATTTTTAAAAGCAATTTGAAATGCCAAGAAGCAAAAAGTTTAAAGAAAAACAGTGATATAAAACCAAAGCAATATTAAACTTAATTTTAAAAAAGTTTTTTACTTTGTTTTGTTAAGTTTGACGTTTATAAGCTTCTGTTTTTTCAAAAACTTTTACTTTGCATTTATAAAAGCAAAAAAAACCTGAGTAGAACTCTTAAAAACATGTTTGGTTTGTCCGTTTATTATTTTATCAACGCAGCGTTTGAAAAATAAAAAAAATTCATAAATTAGAGACTAACTTTATAGCCTAAATAATGAAGCATAATTTGTTTTTCCAAATCCGATGGCCCAATATGTCGATCGGCAAAGCAGTCATATTGTAAATATTTGCAACAACTGATCGCCGGAAAGGAACGATGAGTTTGCCGAAAAAGGCTGCAAGCTGCTCGCATCATCGTTGTTGTCCTTCTAAAAAACGACAATAGGACAGAATGAATTTGAACAAAAAACGGCAAGTACGTTGATACGAATCAACAAATATATACCTACACAGAACACACTAGGAGTATATTTCTTCCCAAAATGTACGACGATAGCAAAAATACAAATTTCTTATCGCATTACTACTGCTCAGCGCATTGAACAGACCAAAAAAAAACTTTAGCACACTGTTCACCCACTGCTCAGTTGTAGAACTGTTTCAACTGACGAATGGCATCATGCTCTGTTGTGGGTATATATAACTTTGTAACTAGTCGTCCACAACTGACCTTGTATTGAGTGTCAATGTCGATTGATGCTTTTGTTGTTGCTAAAATGACAGAATATTAACTTTATCAAAAATAAAAAAAAAAGAGGTTTTTTTTAATTGAATTATTTCTTTTTTATTATTTTTTCAGACTAACATAGCACTTTAATAGTTTACTTTTTCAAAACAAAATTGCTTTTTTTTGAGAGAGAGTATGATGAGGTAAGTCGGTAAGTTGATACACTGAAACGAATTAAACACCTTGACTATGCGAAAAAGGGTTGAGAAAACTTTAGGGAATAAGTCATCAACAATTTGGAAAATTTATTAGACTATTATCATCATTAAAAGCCATAAATTTATAGCTTTAGTATCAAATACTTACTGCTTTAGCGTCAAATAGTTTACGAGTTTACGACATCACCGGACTAGAGCATCTGTCGTTTCTATAAATATATAACGCCGTTTAAAGATCAAAAAACAAATAAATAAGGGTCAACTACGACGATAATGATGATCATCCTAAACAGATTTAGATATACAAAAAATTTTTATCAACAAGAGTTAAACACTAAAAAGAAATCATAGAATAAAAAAAAAAAAAAGTTGGAAAACAATTCTGCACGATGTGAGCCTACAAGAACAGTATGATGTGACAAAAATTTTGTCGCTCTATTACACTTTTCAGTGTTTCAATCACACAGCAACAATTTTATATGATTTTGTAACGTCATCAAAAACTCAAATGTTATTAATTACGAAACTCTACAGATGAACTTTTAGTTGTCAAGTAAAAGAAAGTAAACCTTAAAGAAAAAAAGTCGATAATAAAGTGACAATAAAAACTATTTTGAGCCAAATAAAACTCAAATATAACTGTTGCTGAAATTGAGCAGTCGTCAGACGGTCAACAGCGATTCTTTTACTGCTTTGGTTCATTAGCTAAAAAAAAAAA